GGCCACTAGAAAACTGCTGCTGCAGTGAGACCAGGGCAGGAGGAGTAGCATCAAAGAGAAACCATCCTTGACCAAGAGTAATCGTCTCATTTGTCTCAATCATCTCATCCGAAAAGAAGGTGGACGCCTGGACAGGGGCAAGACTGCCGCGTGTGCAGCAAACTGTCAACATGATGGTGCAGGGAAAGCTGGAGTATCTTTATAGAATCTTCTTTTGAAGACGATGAAGACAAACTTTTTCAAGTAACTCTGTTTTTGAAGAAACAAATGCTATGGTTGAGAGAGTCAGAGGTCTGAACAAATATCCAGCCATGGGTCACAGCATTCCAGTAAAACCACAACCTGATATTTTCTCCACAATAAATCCAGGCCAAGAATTATTGCAGATTTAACTTAGCATACAAAGGGGCACTGGCCCCAGCTGAAATCTGATTGGCCCCTGAAACTGCCCTGTCCTGTCAGCTCACAATAAATATTACAATTTGTTCAGAATTTTTATTTTCTTATCTTTTTTGAAGTTCACAATAATGAACAAAGAACATTTTTTAAAACACATCAACGGATTTCACCTTACTGAATCATCAACTGTGCATGGGTGTTGGACAAAATGTAATATCTGCGACTGATCAACAGGGGTTTCCTCTAGATTCATTTAATTTTTCTATTTATCAGTCCTTAACACAAAATCTTCTCTCATTGGCTCTATTTCAGGGCTGGTTCTGTTACTCTGCACAATGTGGGGTAATGCAGAGGTTATCATTGGCTGAGGGAGAAAACAAAGATCATGTAGCATTATGGGATGCTTTTGAATCTTTAAGAGAAAGTTAGCAGCGCCTGTGTTGATGGAACTGATGCCCCTAATTCAAAAACTGCAGAATAGTTGTCCCTAGTTGAATGCAAGACATTTACTTACAATTTCAGCAGAGACTGGACATATTAAATAACATGTTGGAAAAAGTGAACTCACTGTAACTTACTCTCCTGCAAACATTTTACCTGTGATATATTCTGTAATTTGGTATGAATTAATCAAACGATAAAAGTAATGTGCACAGAAGAGGAGGAATAAATGAGGGAATCAGGGTAAAAAAGAACTTCTTGGCAAACAGCAGTGACAAAGAATGTTTTATTACAAATTGACTACATTACATTTGAGATTGTGTGCCCAGGTGTGCGTGTGTGTGCATACAATCTCCCACTAAAAGCTCCCAAACACTTTCCGGCAGTCTCCATAATCCTCCTTTCCCTGCTGTGTGTCAGCATCTTCAAACATCAAATCAAAGAGATACCTGCCTCCGAGTCTCTCTTCCTCTTATAAGTCATCACATGGCAACCTCTTTTCACCCTGCTCTCATTTCTCTACCCCAAATCCTTTTTCTCTCAAATTTATTTTTTCTCTGAATCAGCCACTCCCTTCCACCTTCAACTCTCCGTTTGTTTCCATTTCTACAGCACTCTTCTTACATTTCATCTCACCAGACATTCAGATGTACCCTTAAATAGATACAAGATAAGAGTTTTTGATAGATAGATTTTTATCACATTAAATAGCTCTGAGTGTCTCCTCTTGGTTATGGCCTTGGGTCTCCCCTGTGAAGACTGCATTTGTTGATAAAAAAAGATAAACCGATATGAAGAGCTCTTTCAGGTAGAAAAGAAAGCCTTTGTGAAGCAGAGAGGAGGGGGAATTGGACATTGCCAAATGAATGGTTTGGAATGTCCTGAAAAAGAAAGAAACTACTGGTGTACTGAGTGAACAGACATCGGCCAAAGAGAACAGGTAATAACAGCTACATTGTGAGAAATGAAAATCTAAATCCAAAAAACAACAGTCAGTGATATCACCACCAACCTCCACCACCCAATTCAGAAGTCAACAGTAAAACATGTTTCTGCATAGTTACAGAGAAATGCCTCCAAACTTGTCTGGAGGACTTGCAGCAAGACTGTGGGCCCTATATCTTACACCCAGTGCAAAGCAACACCAAGCATGACCAAGCATGACCAAAGTGTTTTTGCTACTTTCACACTTACGCATTTGTCATTTTCCCATTCAGCGCTCACGCTGTTTTAAAAAAGACCCATCTGAGTGCACATAGACATGTTGGTCTTAATATGCAGTGTGGTCATGGGCATTGTTTGTGCACTGCACTCTGGGGCAGAAGTATTTCTCTGTTATTGCGAGGGTGTATCATCAAAACAGTAATGTGAGTCCCCATAGCTCATGCGCACACACACCCACACACACACACACACACACACACACACACACACACACACACACACGGTCTGTTTCCAGTGCAGAGAAGAAAACTACTCCCCAACCCATCTTAAAATACACACATATGCTTCAATCATTGTAAGTCACATAAGTAAGTCAGTTACACATTATGTAGCCTGTACATACACATACATAGATGTTATGTATTCTGCATACTATACATTTATTATACATCGACACAAGCGACAGCATGGCAACGTGCACAGACGCAAGAACAGTATTTACTGACAGTTACTCAAGGGTATTTCAGTTCTGATCATTAAAGTAACATGCAGTGGGTGAAATGTACAGTACCACAGCTGTCACAGCATCTAACGACTATGAGAGGGAAGAGAGCAGGAGTGTGAGGGAGACAGAGACAAGATTTGGTTAATTAATGTCTCCTCATGTTATGGATCCTACTCAACTGTCAAGTACTGCTTTCCAGTTCCCATGTCCCCATCCCTGATTGCTGATTTAAGTGAACGTCTACGCCTCGACTCATCTGTATACAAACTGCCTGTAGAAGTTTCTGAGTTGATCTTCTGCCGTGACCTTCAGGATTTGACTGTGCTGCAGTGGGGAAGCCTCAGGGCCTTCTAGTCCTTTAGAGAAGGCCAAGCATTTTAAATGTTATATTTAATTTCTTTCGTAAAATAATAATAATTACTCTCATCTAATTCTAATTTTGTAATAATTCTCCTTTAATTCTAGCCTCCATTTTGATCAAATTGGCTTCCGAAATAAAATGATTACTGCCCTAAAACGAATATTTTCTTACTCATTGGTTAGTGTAGGAAATGGCAGGTGAATATAATATCATAATATCTCAAACACAGCATGTTTTCTGGTATATATGTATTCTATGGAGATTTTCACCACTACACTTCTACCACTACTGCAGTACAAGGGAGGTGAATGGAATTTTGCTTGCAAAGTTGTGTCTATACTTTGTGCTTCCAATGAAAAATTCTAAAATGGAAATATTGTCATTCACAATTTTGACTATTTAAATACGTTTGCCAGAGAATATTTATTTATAATATGTGCTTTTGAACTTTGTAGAATTTAATATATGTAATTAAAATCAACAAGACACCCTCTCACTAAAGACCCAAGCTCAGCTCTGTCAACATGTGTACAAAGTCTGATCTAACTTCACAACAGTTTTAATCCTTGATATACGAACATAAGAAAGAGAACACGTGATATAATTAATTTGTGCCAAGGGTATTTCATCTCACCCTACAAACTCCCCTGGAGTAAAATAATGAAAGAAAAAAAAACTCTGCTCAATAAGTGTGTACTCATAGCAAATTTATGCTCTGGATCAAAACAACATGAATCATTGCAGAATTTATTCTTTAAAGCAAAAGTTTAAACAAGCTCGGGATGGAAGCAGAAAGCCTCCTCTGGGCCGGCAAGGCTGTAATGGCTGACAGCCCAAAACTCTTTCTTTATACGATCATACATTTTTCATCACAGAAACACTTTGAACCCAAGTGTGGGGGATCATTTCACTGGACTTCTTAAGAGTCTTAGTGTCACTCGAGAATGGCACAGTGCTGACTTTGGCTTCCCTGAACGAGCAAAAATTCAAACAGTAAAAAACGAATTCACAAATCAATGAATACATATATCTCACCAGCATCCATACATGCAGTGGTCACACAAAAAAAACAACTAATAATCCAAATTTTGTTTCATATTCTGGTCTTTCCTCACGACCCCAGAGGGAAATCATTACTTCCAGCCTTCTAAATATGCATGTGATTAATTATGCATCTTGTTATCACAAGCTAATCTGCATAGGACTCTCATGTATAAAGTCCCTTTCATTACCATGCAGAAGGCCATCTCACAGGTGTGCTGAGTAAATATACCACACACTGCAAGATGATGAAAAAGAACGCACACACACACAAAAAAAACAAGTTAATAAACCGGAGTTGAGACGCACTCACTGTGTTCGAACAAGCGCGGACACACAAGTGTGCTTGCTCAAGTGTATAGACTCCTCACGCACTTACAAACACTACACGTGGACACCCACCAAGAGACAGACACATTATCTAACCCCACTGACATAAGGTCCAGGTTTCCCCTCATACGGGCGAGTTTGGTCTGTGCCAACTCATTAAGAACACAGCTGGCCATAAGGCGGAGTGGGGTAAGACCACAGGGGTCCTCAGATGGGTGTCTGATTGGATTTTCAATGTTCAACAATATAAAAGGCTCATTGTGGCATGTATGTGTCTCCAATATATGAAATTAAAAAATGCAGCCTCACTTGACTGAAGCAAATTGAGCATGTGTACAGTGCAGTATAAATTCAGTGAAGGCTGTAGATGCAAATTTAAGTTTGTATTACTGGCAGCTAACTGTGTGTGTGTGTGTTTGTGCGTGCGTGTGGATGTGTGTGTGTGTGTGTGTGTGTGTAGGGAGCAGCAACATCTAGACTTTCTTCTCCTTCACTGTTTATCACTTGTCTTTACAGAATGCACTGCTTTGGCTTCACTTTTGGGGAGGAGTCATGTCGTTCATCTATGTTATTTTACCTTCTTTATATTAACAAAAAGTTCTTTACCATGTTTCCAAGACCAAAAATTAACCTTCATACTTAATTTGTATATGTTACTTCAACATAAGCAAAGGACAAAACAAGACTGTAGATTCTGATGATTCTAGATGTTTTGCTGTGGCATTATTCAAATGCTTGAGCTAAAAAACGGGGACTCACTCAGGTTCCATTTGAGTCCAGTGGTGATTGTTTGGCATGGTCCTCCCACTGGGATGAGGCTGCACCAGTCCCCCTCCAGACCTGTGTTCATCCCAAGTCTGTGGCTTCCCTGTTGACACAACAAGAATGCAAACAAATAGTGAGTATTCGTCTGCAGGAGTGTGCATGACACAGTCAATGACAGGAAGAAACAATGAGGTGGGAAAATAGTTTAAAGAGAATATAAAACTCTTTTTTCAGCCCCAGATGAGAAACTTAGCTCCTCCACCCAGGGAACAAAGCTCATTAAAATATATTATTGCTCTTGTCAAAGTTGCAACCCACTTCCACTTCCAACCCACACTTAAAAAGAATACCTTGCCATTTTGAATTATATTCGTTTTGCCCTGTCTGTAGGGAGTCAAAACATTTTTGTACTGACACCCCAAAACCATCCAAGCAATCTTTTCACCAGAAAAGCTGGTTGCACTGTTATGAAATTAATAGCTCACTTCAAATAAATGAGAAGTGCAACTATAGCACATTTTATTAAAGAACATTATCTGATAGTTATGGGAAGGAAGGTTGACAAGTGCCCCAAATATTTCAGTGGTGTCTGGGGGACAGATGTAGGGACATTTTTTTTTTATAAAGTGCTGTACAAAGAAAATAAACATGAACAAAATTTGAAAATGTCACGGTTTTCCTTTGAATAACTACTCACGAGGTAGTGTCAGACTCTTGAATAATGAACGGCTCTGAATGTGCAGCTTATAATAAAGCCTGATGCTGGGTCAGAACAAAAAGTGAACAAAAAACAAGGATAAAGAAGAAACAACTCGATCTTGTCAGATACATGTTTCTGGGAAGAGGAGAGAGTCGGTGGCCAGAAATGCCTCAAATGTGATAATTATGCTTTCGCACTTGTCAAAGGAGTCTTACACAATCATACAGACAAAGACCAACACTGCATAGACAGATGGCGTCATTAAGAGTTTGAAATCTTGAAGGGGTGACACATTTAAAGCAGAGCTGCCTTTACTCAGCTTCCTGGCGCTGCGGGGCCAGAGGGAAGGAATGATGGAATACGACTCTTTGGAGCTTTCAGCATTCGGGAAACATCCCCAAGGTTGTTTTGTTTTTATATATAAACACAGTCTCTTTGTGTTATTGTGTGAGTCTGTGTATAAAGAAGAGTGAAAACAAATGTGCAAATGAATGAACACATTTTGCAGATCAGGAGGAGGCGCTGCTGGGAGACTTGACAATGCATGTTTTGCAAGTTAGCTGCAATAGTTACTTTTTAAATGAAAAGAAAGACGAAAACTGAAGCTCAAAGGGAAAAAGTTTTAATTTCTAAAAGATGCTCGGTGATGGTATAAATCTAAAGCAGTGCATGAGATAAGATAAAACTTTATTAGTCCCACTATGGGGAAAGTTGCCCTGCTACAGCAGCAAAGGGGATAGTAAAAATAAGAAATATCAGTAAAAAAGTTATAAATAAGTAAACATGCACAGAAGGAAATATAAAACATAGAAATAATGTTTGCAATGTAAACAGAATATATACAGTGTAAAAAGAATATACATTTTGATGTCTTTAAGCTAATAAGGTATGAGATGGAGAAAGCTATAATTTTCAATATATATTTTTAAAAATGTTTTGTTTTTAACTTGATGAATATTTCTATTGTGACAAGTCTACTATTTATTACTGTATTTATGACTTTTTCACAAACAACAAGACCGATAATAAGCTGCTTAAAAAGACACATCCATGTTATTGATGCCACCAATGAACTGGGAATCAGAAACAAAACAACAAAATGCTCAAATCAGCATGTTAACATGCTCACAATGACAACGCTGATATTAAAGCAGGTCTAATATTTGATGCTCGTGTTCAATATTAATTATTTAATAACACAATTATTACATGCGACTGTCATTAATTTTCTGATAATATTACATTAGCAGACAATTTGAATCAAACCATCTCCTAAAGGTAATCATCATCAATGTTCCTCTGTGTGCTGAGATATGTTTAAGTAGGTCATTGAATTTTTCGTGGGTTCTATTTTACATATGATTTTTTCCTGACTGTAGGACACAAGACATTTATTTCAAGAAAATACGTAACTACATTTGAGTCCAAAAAAAACAAAGATCGTAACTTTCTTTTTGTTGTACTGCATTTATTACTTCTCATTATTCACTGCAGTACCGACCAATTTTATACTTGAATGTCCCCTTGTTGCTAACTAGCTCCAGTGCAGCAGGAGTTGGATTGAGGGGATGTACCTCAGGTATCACACTTTATCATTTAAATCAGTTCTTAAGTTTCACTTCTCAAAAGGGCATCAGGTAAACAAACCTGTAGACTTGACTGGACATCTGTGTTTGTGCTTATAGAGTGTTTTATAGCCTGGATTGGGCTGACACAGCGCTGTGTATTGTTTGTCCCACGCTACAGCTTTTCTTAGCTGTCCTCAGGGGCTGGGGTGCAAGTTCTGCTTGGCCCTTCGACTGAGTCTCAACGGAGCAGAGAGGAAGAGAAAAACGAACTAAACAGACAAATTCAGAGCAAGTTTTGTCTTTTTCTTTTAATCAGACCCAAATTGAGTAAATTTAGCATCACTTTGGGACCTAGGCAGAACAAGACATGTAGGACTTTGAATAAACAAGCCTGCAGTCCTCTTCAGTGTCCTGATTTAATGAAAAGCATGATGATTATTCAATGGCCTGAGAAAGTTATAGAAAGAACAATACTTCTACATATGTTCCAAAGATAGTACATAAACACTCTGATGCCTCATATATGGGAAACAAAAGCTACAACTCTTGATAAATCAAGGAACAAAGAAGTATGTATTTGTAAAATGCAGAGGTATAATAACACATTGCATTAATAAGCAGAAATTCAAGTCTACATAAGATACATTTTCAGGCGACATCATTCGGAAAATGAACATGATATAGTTCTCATCTTAATTGGTTTGTTGTGTGGGAAGGTTTTTGTATAGAACATGAAAACCTATGTATTGATTGTATCACCAAATCCCGAAGCTGAGCACGTAACAAAGCCGTGATTGCATGGAATGTGGGTGGTGAGGATATTTGGCAAAAGTTGTAAACACCTCAATTACAGATGTTAAGTTGAACGAGTAGCACGCGGCCTTGCGAAGGTTGCCTTCACCTTCATGTACAGGCGTCTGCGTTCATCAGTTGCCTGCGAATTGGAGCCGCGTTGACAAACGAGCTTAATTTACCGTCACTGAAGTAAGATTAATTGGAGGTGTTGAGGTATGAAGCAGCAAATGACAACACGCCTCTGGAATAATGACAAGACGTGGGGAGGGAGTGCACGAGGAAGAAGTTTACATACTTAAATGTATTACGAGGTGCCATCAGGACGTGAGACAGGTGGCTGTTCGTCCCGACAAATCTCACAACATGAGGGGAAAAAAAGGGGAGGTTAAAAGAAGAGCAGTGTATTTCCCAAAAGGAGGCTGCTCGGCCCACTTGTAAATTCAATCAACTGAGGAGCATGAGAAAGTGGCTGGCATCGAGGAAAAACAATTTGGGAGCAAAAGAGACTCTCTCTCTCTCATGCATAACAGCAAATTGGGGCACCATAAGAGCAGGAGTGTGTGTGTGTGTGTGTGTGTGTGTGTGTGTGTTTGAAGTGATTACTTAACAAAGAAACAGTGTTCAACACTTCAATCAAGGTGGAAGCAGAACAAGGAAAAGAACATTTTTGAGACAGAACAGAAAATGAAGGGAAGGACCGGGAGAGGAGTGATAGAAGTGGTGGGAGATGTTAGAGAAGGGGGAGCAGCGTGCTAATGTAGCATGGTGAAAATACACTGTGGGTCTGCCTGTGTGTGTAGTTTTCACATGCAAGTCGTTACACAAACATATGTCCACTTTTAAATTCAGGTAAAGAGAAATACTGGGAATAATAAGCAACAACCAGTCTATTCAAAATGAGATGTCTTTTAATCATTTGTTGTGTTTTATAATACCAGTAAAAATAGATAACTGGCTTCATCGCTCAAAGGAAAGAAAATCTAATGGAAACAAGAGCATAATTCTGCCAAGGCTAACCTGTCCCCTTGTGAAACAGCATTTAAACTCACTATCCAGATTTTTATTTCGGTCTGCACCAAATTGCACATTCAGTCCTCTAAAAATGCCAGATTTTTCTCTTCAACATTCAGGAATTATGGTAAAGAATGTGAAAAACTAAAATCCTGGATTCCAGCCTAAATTTTATAGGTTCATTCCTGACCCTGACTGTATATGTATGTGGTAATCTGTACAGTACAGTAGTTTTTGTGTAACTCTGGTAGACAGACAGAGACGAACAAACTCAGGTGAAAACATACAGTAACCTCCTTGGTGAAGGTAAAAAGTAGAAAGAATAAAAACATTGCACGGTAGGGAACTCAGAATTGAAGGCTATGTGCTCTCACTAGCCCTGTGTGTTTATGATACACTCACTGGTCGGAGTAGATATGCCAGGCTCGTCCCCTGTATGATCAACACAGGCAGCTGTGTCATGGACAGAGCGTGGTGGAGTGTCTCAACAGATGCCATGGTCTGGTCAAATCTGCCTGCCAGACCTCCCAGAGTCACTATGGCATCCACCTGGAAAGACAAGCAGAGTTTAATAAGTAACAGAAAGAAATGTCACGGTTTGATGTAGTGGGTTTGTTTTTCTGGCAGCATTCTGCTGAAGTGACAGGGGAGACACTTTTTCCAGCTTGTGGAAAAAGTGATTTAGCTCTCTGCAGGAAATAAAATGACAAATAAAACAATGCCGATTTGATCCATTTAACAAGTATCTGTGTTAATTTGTGTAACCGAAACCTCTACGTGGTCCACTGCTGCCCATAAACCACACCAGTGAGCCACACTATATAAGTGGTTGGCTTGTTCCTTTGTTACAGAACCATGAACACAGGCACCGTGGTTTATTACCAGTCAATCCCACATATCGTTAACCTTACTGGTGCCTTTAATATTCAGAAGAAAAACATTCATCCGTAGCTGAAACTCTACAGTGCTCGAGTTAAAAGTGTATATTGGTACCATTGGCTTTCCATCTTCAACTGAAAGTAATTTAGTTCAGTGCCACAAACAGGCTGAGGAATTATCAAGAGATGGACAAATGCTTTATTAGCCTTGGTCTTATTGTTGAAAGTACAATATGCAACACCACCAACCATTTATGAGGAAACAATAACAAAACAAGCCTTACAACAAATCCCATTGGGACCATTAGGCTTTGAACAAAGAGCTTAAAGAAAGAAACACAATGGAGGACAAGCATACATAATTAGGCTGCTACACTGAGGGCAAACACCAGCCTCTTAAATTAAGAGGTGAACATGTTAACAGCAAATAAGTGGATTGCGAAAGAACCATGTCCTGCAACCTCAGAGCTAAAAAAAGGTTTCTTATGATAAACTTTGAGCCAGCAGTTTACTCAAGTATAATATTTACAGCTCTCAGCAGTTATATCCTTATACAAAGTCCCCGAGCAGTCAGGCACCACTGCTGACAGCTTTAAAACCCAGCAGAGTCTAAAGGGCAGAGGCGCTGTCACAGGCTGACAACTGACAGTCAGGGCGGTACGGAAAATCAACTAAATACACACTTGCTTCACTTCAGTGTTTTCATTTGATCCATTCACTGTAAACAAATAAACAGGGTGTCGGAGGTAAAATTATTTTCTATTGCATTTGCTGATGTTCATTATTCTTGATCCGCAGCGTAACACCGGGGGAAAAGCACCAAATTATGTGTATTTTACTTCTCTTATTAAAAATGAAAACTCAAAACTTTTTCCACTGTAGCTACTGATCAGTCACATCATACTGACTACATTCATTTGCTACAATAACAGACGTGCGACTATTTTTTATTCTTGCATATAAGTGGGTATGTATGCATTTTAAACTACAGCATGAGAACTTGTCACTTTTAAAAGCATTTTCGCTTCCACTTCACTACTTGTAGCTTCCTAACATAAAGAGACACATAACAGACTATTTACCAAACTTGATAGTACTGTAACTCACATCCTGCCTCAGGAGATGAAGTTAAAGCAAAACCAAGAGCTGAGTTTGAGGTTATTTCAACATCTGGCTCACACCCCCATATGCAGAGGCATCGCAGACACTGTAAACAACAACGCTTAGTAAACAAACTCCCCTCTGTGAGAGAGAGAGAGAGAGAGAGAGAGAGAGAGAGAGAGAGAGAGAGAGAGACGTTGCTAAAATGATAAAAATGTGAAACTCACTGCATTTATCTACATAAACAAGTTTCTCAAAAGGTGGGAACCAACATTAATATTTCCTATCTGAACCAGGTCTTACAGGAACAGGGTGGTGTGACTGATTTGGGGGTTTTCACATTTGAAAGTCCGGACCACAGTTTGTGTCTTTGTTACATTGTGATCTTTTTCATTTTGGTTTCACATTGCAATTTTGGTAACGCACTTGAGACGTTTGTATGAAATGCGTATGTCCTCTCATCACTTCCTTGGGCGGCATTGTTGCTGTTGTTTTGATTGTTAAGTTTGTAAATGGGCATGTCTGCCGTCGACGTGTCAGTTCAGCGTGTTAATCGATTTTCTGTTTGAATGGAGAAAATGAATAAGCCTGTTTGTTTTGTTGATTTCGTTGCCACTGTAACATTGTTATGGTTTTACTACCAGCATCACCATCTTCACTCGCAGTACTCCACACTATACGCTTAATTGTTATATATACATATATATACTCGACTTCCTGCCATCAGTTCAAAAGTCTTAACTATCCAATTTCCACTCTGCAAACAAACTATATCCTGGATCGGTCTGATCTTAGTTCTTTGATCACCCTTTGACCTGTTATTGTGGTTTGGACCTGAAAAGTCTGAAGGAACGGATTGAACCAAGAATGGGAGAAAGCCCCTTTATTATTAGCAAATCCAATAATAAGACCTTCTTTCTCAGTACATAAATACTTTGTATACTCTGTAGTCTGCCCAAAGCCCATTCAAATGGGTTAAAAAAGAACTCTGTAATTACTGAAAATGTTCCCTTGCACAGAAACATTTGGAGCCCTACTAATCCAACAGTGCAGCTCTACTAAGTTACATCTATCTACAGCTACAAAGACAATTTAGTAACAGAGTGAAATACTTTTGGTTATGCTGTTTTCATATGTTATTTTTCAAACATGAAATAACAGAAAAATTCTAATTCATCCTTTAATTTGGAGCTGTTATCTACAGTAGACATAGCTCCTTTGTCCATCCATCAAACCAAATGAATCTCTGATGTCTGTCCACACTTCCCCAAAGTGGTGGTTGGGGAGGAGGGGTGTATCGTTCAGATCAAAATCCACATCAAGTCACCAAAACCAGGCAGCTCTAAAAAAAGGAAAAAATGTTGGGAGTAGAAGAAGCAACAACTACAGACAACCGTGTTGTTTCCACTCCCGATGAAACACTAGCTCGATCAATCTTCCGCTTTCCATCAAAACTTCTGTTGAGTCGGCTACACATATTAAAGTCTATATAACTGCCTGAACTTTTATTTGTTCCTTTTTCATGTCTGTTGACTTAAAAAAGAAAAAGCAAGGCAAGGACAATCTCACGACCGAATGAAGGGAATTTAACAAGCTGGCTCAACCCATCTGGCTGTACTGTCTCCTGATTGGATGCACGGGGGAACCAGAGCGAGCAATATTCACTCTGAGATCAACACAAAAACATGACCCTCCTCTGTGGGCATGATGAACAGACAAGCAGAGAAAGAGAGAGGAGAATTAAAACAGTGGCACTTGCTTATGCCTGCAGCAGTGAAGCGAGGAGAGAGGCTAACGAGGACAGAGCAGTGAGACGACAAACAGACCAGAACACAGTCATACCACCAGACAAGTGCATACACACATTTCAACAAGTTACTCAAACATATATAAACATGCAGGGACTGTTTGTGCACAGATACACTTTTGAATTCACATACTGAGACGTAAACATGCAAACATACATGTAATCATAATCATTTAATTAATTTAAACAGGGGAGTGGATAGAAATAATTGAAGGTGGGCAGAAGGGAACACGGCATGGCATGATATTAAATAATAAGGTTAAGTCATGCTTCCAGCCTAATGTCCTACCTACTGCTTTGAAAACACAGGTTCACGTGAATTGCCAAAAACAATGGCAAAAACAAAAGAGGCAATTCCTGAGAAGCCTGCACAGATGAACCAGATTCAGTCTTTAGGAATCTGACCACGTTCGTGCCATGGTGTGTAACAAAGGTGTCAAGTTCACGATGAAATGTCCTGCTGTCCTTGGTGTGATTTTTCGGGGATGAAACAATAAGATTTGACATTCCAGCAAAGGCAGAGGAACTTTGCTCAAGCAACATAGAAAACGACCTGAATTGTGCTGACAGGCTGAACGCCAATCAATAAGCTCTGAGAGCATTCAGATAGAGTTGAACTGTGTCAAATACTATACTGTAATGCATGAGTATGAGTTAGGGAGCGCGCTCTGTTGTACAGTTATAGATACCTGCTGTTTGCTTCATTTGGGGAGGTAAAAAGAATTGACTGCTTAAATCGTGGGTTGGACACAGATCTCCCACTCCAAATGTAATAGTACGTACAGAGGTACAGTCAGTTCAGTTGTCCAGAATTTTTCCTGCATACCTTATTTTTGGAGGGCCATTATATAACAGTACCTGTTATATGGATATATACTCTGTTCTCTTATTTAGTCTTTATACTCAATATTTTATATTAAAAGGGCCCTTGACCAGTGTGATTGACCACAAACAGGACCACTCCAGTCCTAAAAACCCAGCCCCTCTAAAGTGTCCAACGACAAGTTGACATAAATGAACCAAATAGGATGTGTGGACCCATGGATGTTCAATTATCCAAGGACATATGCATTGTTACCTATCTGCATTATTTAGAAGCCCCAATATGAACATATCACCTGTGAAAATGTTTCTTATTAACTTGGAAATTCGTTGTATTAGTGTAAATCTGGATTAAGGCGAATCCTTCAAAATGAAAGAATTGGGAAACTCTATTCAAAGGATTTCTACAGGCTTTTTGCTTCCAAGCATCAATCTCACTTTTATTGAAACCCAGCAAGGAGCCTACAAAGTCTGCTTCCTATCAACCTTTTTCCCTTTTGAATGCAGTTGTTAAAATACCGGCAAACATGCAAGCATGCTGTGCGGATACTGTTTTGGTGAACATTATTTCATAGGATCAGACAAGCATCACAGAGTGTTATCTTTCTTTTTCTAATATACGTCAGCTCCTAAATATTATTTATACCATATTGTCCTTAAACGCTACAGAGGTTGTTATACTCATTGGCTGGAAAAAGCATTCAAAAGGATGGAAAGGGGATCTTTATATGCTTCATTGAAAAGATTTTCTCCTCTTTTTAGCTGCCACTGTCGAATGTGTAAAAATGTTTAGCCCTGACTTATTTATCTGTTTATGTGCTAGCATCTTTCTCTTACCAATATTTTTTTTATTCAGTTGACAGCTTGATTTCATCCTTTATATGGAGGAGCTGCACTCAACACATAAATAAGACTTATATTCAGAGAAGTATGCCAAAGGGGGACCTAGCATAAGACTCTTACTCAGAGAAGTATGCCAAAGGGGGACCTAGCTCCTCCAAATATATGTCTAAAAGATTAATATTGGCTACACCATCCAGACAATAGCTGGTGTGCTGGTGTATGGAGGCTGACTGTTTTTCATTTTAAACTTTTCCTCCAAAGATGATGATAAATGTGAACTCTCCCCAGTCTCCAGTTGACCTAACACACATGTTTTGGTCATGTCCTAAATTGATATGTTTCTGAAATAATCTTTTATATGATTGGGGTGGAGGTATACCTGGTGTAGGGATAGCTATTTTTATTTATGAAGTGCCCGACTCAGCAGAAAGACTCACATCGAGGTAACTAAACATTATTGCTTTCAGTTCTCTCCAGCCTCCTCCATCCAGCAGGATATTACTTGTTTGGTAGAACCCTGCACGACCTTCATCATCATCCCTGATAGAGGATGAGTGACGAAGATGAGGATGTTACCTTTTTTTAAAGATTTTTTTCTCTAGCCAATTTAATCTATCTATTCATATTTTTTATTTATTGTACAGTTGTTACAACTGTGACTAGTGTTTATTTTTTCTTTTATTATTTTGTTATCTTACATTAGAATTTGCATTGTTAATGGTTGAGGGTTATATGGGAGAGAAGCGAGAGGAAAATGGAGGGACAATCATTTTCTTTAATGTCGTAACTTTATGCTTTTGTACTCCCTAATAAAAAACTTTTATATGACCTATGCATATTCACAAAGTGTTGAATGAAGCAGACGCTGCAAAGAAAAGAGTCATAGTAGGTAAAGAAAAGAGGAAATTAACAGTTACATGCCATGAAAACTGATTGCCAGGCTCCAATCACTTGCAGACACACAGACAGACAAACACCAGTTCGGAGGCAAGGTAAATATTAGCCAGGCTGAGGGAAAAAAAGGCCCATGGAAGGACAGGACAAAAGTATCTTCTCTTAGAGCCCGACACCAGAAAACTGAGTGACAGGTATGGCAAAACATGTGCAAACACGATTACGAGCATGTTTGTGTGTCTGTAAGTGTCTTCTCCATTGTCTTCCCTCAGCTTAGAGCTGTTAAGTGATTGGGGCACTCGGCAGTGATTGGAGCGACACCCAGCATGCCACTTAAAAGTCCTAATAATGCAGAAAATAGAGACGGAAAAAAAGAGAGGGGAAAGTGATAGACAGACAAAACGATTTCCCATGATTTCCCATGACGCTACTCAACTTGACAATGACTATTGTTAAAATGATTGAAATTGAAAAAATACAGTTCCTTTATTACATGATGTACATTCTGGCAATAGAACTAAGTCAATCTCCGGATCAGATCACCGTGTGTCTGTCCCTGCAGCAGCTGACTGGGTTCCAGGCTTTGCTCTGGCTGGCAGCTAATTCTCATTTTAGAGAGATAGCAACAAAATCAAGTATTTCATTTTGATACACAATAACATGTTGAGTTCTACATGTGGGTGTAAATGTGGCTAATGGTATTCTTGTGATATTACACGAATTTCATCAGGAAATGTTGATGCATATTAATGCTCTTTCCTTGCAACACATTGTTTGATATGCAAACACCCACACACATTCACACTTGAGATCTACCCGCAGTGAACCGCAGTCTAACACAATTGACCTATGAGCAGCTCATCCTAAGTAGCAGGACGAAAAGCCTTTAGAGGCAGAGGGAGAGCAGAGCTTTGCTTATTAATTTTATTCAAAGCTAAATGTACTTCTACTTATTTTAATGATGGTAACTTTTTCAAATAATTTTTGCGACACTCATTTGATCAAGAGCAACTGCACTAAAGGATTAGTCAAGGTTTTGGAAAATACAAATGTGCTTTCTTTACAAGAGACAGATGAGAAGACTGATATGACTATCAAATATGTCTGCTGTATATGAGCTGGAGTCAGAACTATTGGCAAGGCCAATTTGTTTCCTTTGTTGTACAGTTGTAAGTTTAAGATGAAAAGATGAATAAGACAAGTATTCATTATTTCATCTTTTATTTCCTGTGATTTACATCTACATGTGTTAAACGACTTACAACATAGCACCTTTCGTTTGAACCCACGCATTTTTCAAGTGAGGAAAAATACTGAAACTTGTGATTGACAGATGTTTGCCCAGATGTTGCCTTTTAGACTGACTGTTTAATCATTCAATTTCCCTGAATAGTTACTCTTTGTTGTAGTTTTTGTGAAGAAAGGATCTGTTGTAGAAAGGATAAAGCCACATAAAGAGCAGCGAGCTCTCTGTGGGAGAAAAGAAGGCCATTTTGAATCTGAGAAAAAGAAGAAATCGATCTGAGCCATTACACAAACATTGGACACAGCCAATACAACCATTTGGAATGTCCAGAAAAAGAAAGAAACTCCTGTGGTACTTAGCGAACAGACATTGAATGGGTCAGTCAAGGACAACAACAGCTGATGACAGAAACATTGTGAGAGCTGTGAAGAAAAAAACCCCAAAACAAAAGTCAGTGACATCACCATCAATCTCTACAAGGGTGAAGGTATCACAATCCCACGCAGACGACTTTGGGAGCATGGCAGTGAAGATGCAAACAACTCAGAAGAGTCAGAATCAGAAGGCCTGAACGGAGTTTGCATTTGAAAGCACCGAAATTAGCCAAAAAAGTTCTGCATGGACAGATCAAACGAAGATTAACCGCATGTGCTCATGAGTCAAATCATACAAGCTCGCAGTGAAGGTGGAGTCATGGATTGGGCTTGCATTTCTACTGCTGGAACAGGTTCCCTAATCGTAATTGATGATGTAACGTAAGATGGCAGCAGCAGAATGAATCCGGAGCTCTACAGAAACACTTCGGCTGCCAGTTTCCAAACAAATCGTGAGGAATTTCCTTGCGTAGCAAGACGCTGACCCAAAGACACACTGCTAACATGACAAGGGACTTCATCAAGGGGAGGAAGGTTTAAGGCCAAAGTCAATTCCTGGTCCTTAATCCAGAAAGAAACCCCATGTAACAAACAAGAACTGAAAAAGGCCGCAGTATAGGGTTGGAAAAGTAACGCAAATAAAGAATAGTGATGCCACTGGGTTGCTGACTTGATACAGTATTATATTATATTATATAGAATTATGAAACCAAATATTAAATGTGATCCACATAAACTTACTTTAAAGCTGCAAAAACTGACATTTGACTGAAATGAAAGGGCCTGTATGTATTCTCAAATTTCTGGAAAGTTGGCCAATGAGGGAATACAGCAGGAAAATGTCAAGAAAATGAAGTGACTGGGCATGTCAATAACAACAGAAATAAGTTAAGCACCTAATCCGCCAACCAGTACCTCTAAAACTCACTAATTAAGACACTAATGTCTTACTGTAAAATGAATCCCAGAAATACTATATTCCTGCACATGACAACCTCATGAAACCACTTTGTTTTTTTGTAAGGATCAAACCAAACCTTAATAAGTTGTTACCTTTGGATAGTGCCAGGATGGATGTTTTCCACTAAGCTCTCATATTATCTGTCTCCTCATGTAACTCTTGGCAAGAGATAAGTGAATAAGCGTATTTCCCAAAGAAATGTCAAACTATTCCTTTAGCAATAAAAATGCCAGACCTAATTTAAAATCATGCGGACATGAAGCCGTCAGTGTGTGTCTGGTGTGCAGAAGGTGTTTACTTGTATCCGTCTTGTCTGAATCTCCTCCAGCATGATTGCCAGACACTTGGTGAAGTCTGTTAGATCCTGGTCGACTGTTTCTATCAGCTTGCTCCCCTACGCACATGAAGGAGGGAATGACACAAAGTTAGCAAAACACAATCAGATGGATGTACATATAAACAGATATCAACAAAAAAAAACTGAGATAAGGGATAGAGGGATAACAGAGTACAGAAAAACTGAGAGAGGAAGAGAGAGAGAGAGATGGGGAGAGGTATAAATCAGTGTTTTAGTGTTGTCTGGCTGTCTGCGGGCTGTGTTGCTGAATAATGTAGAGGTTCCAGTCAGTGGCCCTAAACTACAGCATCCAGGTAAACAACCAAGCTCTGGCTTTCTCTCCTCTGTCTCTTTCTTTCTCTGAACACTGTCACTTTCCTTCTAAAAAACACCAGCTTCCCTATTTCACGAGGCACAGGCACACACACACACACACACCCACACACACACACACCGAGTACAATCAGTTCACAGAAACTTGTTCTCCGTGCTCTGTTTAATCCCATCCATCCTCCCGTGCCTCCCCTCCTCTTCCCCTCATCCCCACATCTCTGCCACCCCTTGTCTCTCTCCCTCCCTTGCGGATGCTTTTTCTGATCTCTTCCTTCCACTTATGCAGAATTATTCACCGTTTCTAACAAATCTCTAAAGGAACGCCTCAAACTTTCACATTGTTCTGCTCCTAAAGCATTACCATAACAGCCTGTTCTTTCTCACGGTAAAAGGCATAGCTCTTTTTTTTTTTAAGCAACCTGTGTGATGTTTGTGAAAAGGGGCTGATATTACAGGTAGCTACAGAGAGAGGAGACTGTCACAGCTGAAGGCAACTCATATCTGTGAGTGCAAATGTGTGTGTGTGTGTGTGGTTTTGAGTGTGCATGGTTAAGCACCGGATATGCATTTTAAACTGTAAACAGTGTATATCAACGGGCGTCTGATCACAGTAAGATAGGATAAATATCAGACACTACATTGTCTTTCCTCTTAGTGTGTGTGTGTGAGTGCGTGCGTATGCGACATCTTATCCTGTATTTATTATTTATTGAAACAAGCTTCACCTCTCTTCAAGTGGTCTGGTTTGACATTTTGCTCATTATAAACAATGGGAAGTCCACTTGATAGAAGGACTTTCATTTTATTTTCATGACCTTAGAGAATTTACTTGTGAACAATTCTACTGCAAAGCTATAGGGACACAAGGAGCCAAGACTATGACGTCATCAGAAGCCTCAGGCAGCAGCACTGGCGTCTACCTGGAGTGTGTTCATCTACAATTTCATAAAAATACAGTACAGTATATTATGTTAATTGCATTTAAAATTAGCACATACAAGTAATTTTTCTTAAAAATACAAACTCCTGTGAGTTCTGTTCACTTTACTTCACAGTGTAATATCCCCATGTAATGTTACTGACTAATCTCCACATCCTGCATCTATCTGCAGGACATTCAAAGATATTTTGTAGACAATATTTACACTTTACACTTTGCATTCAGCTTGAGTCTGTCTTATGATTCTGTTAATACCATTCTTTTATTTTATCCGTCTTTGTAACTTATCCTTTAAGCCTTTACTGTCTTTTTTTAACTTATCTTCTTTGCCTTTTACAGTGTTTTTATTTTCTACACATTTGATTTCTAACATTCTACATTTTATCTTTCATCCATGCTTGTTTTACTTTCCTTTGCACTCTGGCTCCACTCATGCTGTTTTTAATGTGGTATAGAAATATATATGACTTTTTACAATGTATTTGTTTTGTGTATTAAATTTGGAAGTTTCAATTTAGTTTCCTGATTGGAATCAAAATCAAAAGAAACTAACACAGATATTCCATCATCTTTTCACCAAGCGACCACATATAGGTGTCCCAAAACCCAGGTTGATCGTACAAAATAGTATAAAGTTCTTATGTCCAAACTTTGAAAGCACATTTGTCTTAAGTCCTACTGCTTTTGTTTGTGTGTGAGTACATACAGTATGAGTGATTACATGTCTGTGAGCACCTTGAGGTCTGAGAGTGAGAGTGTGAAAGTTGTGTCTCCACTCACCTTGTCCGCATAGAAAGCTTTGACCTTGGCAGTAATGGAATCAAAATCCCCACTGATATAGTCAGGGAGAAAGCTGTATGTAAGGATAGACAGAGAGGGTGAGTGGCCGAGGGAGAGGGTTAAGATAGCAAGAAAGACAGAGAGAGACAGAGCGTGAGGCAGAGATGGAAGAGAGGGGGAGAGAGAGGACATCGGACATATATCAGCTCTTTGATCTGTGCAACAAGGGAGGGGTGTGACGCCGCCGGGGGTAGAAGAAGAGACATGGAGACTGACAGGGTGATTCTCTGGGCATGGAGCCTGGCCCTGGCCCTGAATCCCCCGATCTCTTGCTCGCTCTCTTGCTATCCCGTTCGCTCGCTCAATAGCTCACTCTCTCTCTCTCAAATGTTAACACATGAAATTAATAGGACTAAAACTGAAAATTAAACTGCGCAGGAGATTGTGGATTATGTGTATATGCAGGCTTTGCATTCTTTTTTCTCTGTGTATTTTATTTAATCATATACAACTGTGTTTTGGGACAACCTACATTCTCATAGTTTTGGAATAATGAACGTCTGTTGAAGAGTGAAATCAGTGAAACAGCCAAAAATGTACCAGCCACCACCGAGTGGAACATTCCTGTCAGAGGACGACAGACAGCTCTCTGTTTATTCCATTTGTGCGTGTGTTTATGTGTAAGGAGCGGGGCCACTCAGGGATGCGGTTGCTGCTATCTAGAGGCATTAACAGGTCTGACATTACGATTTCATGGTTGGTTGGGTCGTGTGTTTGTGTGTGTTTGTCTGTGTGTGCGCGCACCACAAAAAGAGGCGAGAGTGACGTTCCGGTCGGTTGAGGAAAGAGATACAGAGGGATTATATCCTCCCTCCTTCCTCAGTGTTGCCATTTAAACCATTGTGATACAGCAAGACAAACAGAACGGGAATCATGTGCAATCTGTTGCCACATACACAAAGCAAACATGGTTGCTTAGTTCATTGTGTCTGCCAGAAACACTATCACAAATCTTTGTGGACTTTAATCAAAGTATTTTGGTTGATTTTCAGGTATTTTAAAATATCAGACTGACGGTGGTTGTGACTGAGTGAAAAAAATTCCAAAAGCCAGATTTTCACAGTAACCACACCATATGTAAGGACTATGAACAACTTCATAGAGCAAATTCAAAGATAGCTTAGCTGGAGGTGGATGCTTGGATGCTCTAAGAGTCTCTTCTGTCCAGTTTTTGATAGTTGCATCCGAGCAGATTGAACAGATTGCCTATTTTAATGCAAAAACGCAGGACGTACTGTTGTGTGTGATCCCTCCACTTGTCCCTGGCCTTCCCCTTGCTAAAAAATTAATCATCTTGGGCCAGAGTGATGATCCTCATTGGCAGGGGTTCTTTCTGTGGATGTTACGGTCCACCCAGCTGCTGCTCCTACAAATCCAACTTGCCCTGATTTCGAGCCCCCTCAGAAGATCAGTCTCTTCTGACACTGCAGGTTTCCCTCCACCAGTGCATTGTAAAGCAAAACAAATAACCCTCACTTGTCTGGAGACCCCCAGATCTCATCATAGGCTCCTGAAAGAGCAGTTGCCAGCACCTTGATAAAATGCGTTGCTCTGCTGCAATTAAGCCCTTTATACAGGATTACTTCTTCACCTCAAAAGGCTCAGGCTTTCTGTTCCTGACCGAGACTTGGCAGAGCAGTATGGGATAGCTGTGGTTGTCAGGAAATGCTTTTCACAAGGTAAGAAACAGAGTTTTCTTAGTTTTTTACTACAGATGATCACTTTTACTTTAGTTTAATTTCATTAGTTCCAGTTGAATGGTTGTTATGATTATATATTTTACTATCACATAGATGATGCTTCATGTAACTTTGCTGTTGACTTTCTAAATTAAGAAAAATCTGGAGTCTTTTAAATTTACTCAATACGTGTCTGGTCCTTCACACATAAAGGGCCATTTCCTGGACCTAAATATTTGTTCAATTTGCTCTGAGGAGATACATGCTACTGATTATGAACATGTTCTATACAATGTAAGTCCACAACAAACCTCTGCAGCTCTTGCATCTTAAATTGCTTCTTAGAGAAGAAGTTTGCAGCTTTTGACCCAAGCTGTCTTCTTGAAATGATGCTAGTCTGGTCCACTCCTCCACATTGCTTAACAATTTCAGACAAAGTGGTCCCCACCAGAATTAGACTTCCTCCCTCTGTCCATTCATCTACCTGGTTAAATCATACTGTGTTCAAAGCATAAGTTTCAGGGGGCAGAAATCAATCAAACTGAGTTTAACAACAAGGTTAAAGTTGGAACGGCTTCCAACTTTGCCAACCTGCATTCATCCAGTCTTGGCAATCGTATGGTCCCGTTTGGCCTCATTAGGGTTTTCACTACTGTACCAGCAGATGAGCCTGTATTTAAATAAGTATTGCACCAACTTTTCTGTTTATCCAAATGCATAATTTACATTTGACAGTTTTTTGGCAGCTCCCTGAAAGATTTGATTGATATTAAGGGCAGTACGAAACCTTCTTTCAGGCCTGCAGACATTTCACCTACTTCCTTGCTTCAAAATATAGGTGGGTCTATTATTCACGCCTGGTTTTTGTCATAAATAGCTCCCTGCAATCTTGTGTCCCAGCTTATTTTAAACATGCAGTTGTTCAGCCGCCTCACTTTTTCCTGCCTTTTATCTCACAAGTTATAGAAGAAGTTGTTGACAGTTTACTACCATTTTGACTCTGAACAGCATATTAGAAAATTCTAATGCTTCCATGCAAAGCATTCCACTGAAACAGCACTTCTCAAAGTCTCTAATGGCATAATGATGTCTTCTGATGTGGGTCTGCTTTGGGGCTGCTGGATCTTACTGGAGCTTTTGATACTGCAGATCACAGCATCCTGATTTAGAGGCTAAGGCAGTGGGTTGCTGTCTTTGATTGCACTGGAATGGTCCTTGTGTTATCTCTCTGACTGGAGCTTTACTATGTCAATAGGTCCCTATATGTCTGCTGTCCCTGTCTGTGGTATGCCCCCAGAGTTCTATCTTGGACCCTTTACCATTTGTTCTGTATGCTTCCCTTAAGTCATATTAATCTAAAGGCATTCCTTACCACTTACCAAAAGTCTGATGATTGTCTGACTTCCTTGAATGACTGGATGACTTATATCTTTTAAAGCTAAATGCAGATAAACAATTATACTATATTATATTACATCTTATCATTAAAACAATATTTTATTGTTATGCATGAAGAGCATGCACAGCCCTATACCTGAGCTAGTAAAAAATATTCTGCAAATATGCAGGTACACATGTACACTTTTCCCCTTCTTATAATACAGGACACCACTATTGCATCTCCATTCAGAAATAGCCTTCATGTGACAGATGGGATGAGATGCGACACTGGGGCTCATCCAAGCTATCCACACACGCTCGCACCCTTTCTGACCCGTGTGCATGACTCCACCGGATGAGAGTAATTGACCAGGCGAGAGATTCTAAATTCTGTATTTGTGTCTTTGTGCGTGAGCGTAAATGCTGTTTCTGTCTGTGTGTTGTGTGTCTGACAGTCTTCACTTCCACATTAATATTAACTGACACTTTAATTTGGATGGGAAATGGAGCATTTTACCACCAGTTTGTCTGCGTATCATGTGGCAGAGATGGCTGTGTGACCTTTGCCTGTGTTTGTGTATGTGTATTTGTTAGTGTATCAACCTCCCTGTCTCCCTCTCTCTACATCCTCTCTGTCAGCTTTTTTCTCCTCTCCTGCAAACCCACACTTCTCCTTCCTATGTTGTTTTTCCTTTACACCTTATTTAAATCTCATCTACCTTCTGCCCAGCAATATTTTGTTTCCTATGTAATCAAGCCAACTTCCCTTCATCTAAAAAATCTCCTCCCCTATATATTGTTATACCATCTCCATCGCATTTACCCTTCAAAAGAAGAAAGGAAACATCCCTCCATAAGACCACTCATTACAACAAACAGTTGTTTCGTTTATATTCTCTTGCTCTCTCTCATATCTTTCATCATTTCCTGAAATACAACACGACTGCCACTCCTCTCCCCCCTTTCTGGAGATGTGGCTCTGATTACTCTTCTCACCCCTCCCACCTCCCAATCAGACAAGGAATGACATCATTAATGACCACAGACTGTATGGACGTGTAATAAATTCACAAGAGAAAAAAAATGAAAGAACACTTTCAAAATCCAACACAAACTACTTCTGTTTTGCATGAGCTGAACCAAACCTTCCAACAAGGTGTATTTGTAGGATTTAGTGGCATCTACCGGTGAGGGCACAGATTGCAATTAACTGAACGCCACCCTTTCAGCACTCCCTTTCCAAACATGTGGACCCACAGTGGAATTTAACTAATCGGTAGTCCTTGTCTTGAGTCATAGTTTGGTTTGTCCTTTCTTGGCTACTGCAGAAATAAGAAAAATTGTGGTTTCTGTGAAAGAGGCCCAGCTCCTTATTGAGATAAGAAGACATCATTCTAAACTAAAACACAACAATTCTTAGTTGCAGGAAAATATAAACAAAATAAATAAGTTATGAGATTTCTGTATTTCATATCTGTCAATAGATCCCCCTGAATCCTACAGTATTACCTTTCAAGTACAGAGGGTATACAGATTATATTTTGGTTAATATGGATTATTGGTCAAGCCACAAATGAAAGCAGGTCCAATTGTCTTCTATTTATTTTTAAGTAATGTGAGTCATTAGTTTGCAGATTGTGTGTTTGGTTTCATAATTGTGGGTATAAAAACAACCAATCCGTGCAGACAGCATCTTAATATACCCACTGCAACAAAGATTGTAATCAGCAAAACCTCAAGGGACAAGTGTGATCTTGCAAACATCCAGATGAACATGTGTCTTCAGCATGCTCACGCTCATTTGTATTGAAACTATTGAAAAGAAAGCACATGGTTGAACATGTATGATTGTGAAAACATGTGAGTGCCTGTAGAGCCTCTGTTCATTTGCGTGTTTAACCAGTGTCTAATCCCAAAAGTAATCAGCTAGATGCCTGTAGGCACTCTGGGTAAT